AATACGCTTCCTCCTTTCACCCTGATGAAAAAAAAGTCTCTAATACCACTGTTGTTTTACGAAGGAATGACCCCACACCTACTACTGCAGTTACATCTCCAGCGACGTTGTTTCTACAACCAAATCACTTTGCTTTTCAGAAATGATTAACAAAGGCATAAGACATACAAACAGCTGGCCCCAAAATATTCCAGCACATCTAAATGCACTTGGGCTTTCACTCATTCATTTTTAAAAATAAAATGGATGTGATCAAATCTGCTTATTTGTAAGCAGCGAGCCAGAAGCCTTGCTAGAGATGTGGGGAAGCTGTGGGCTAGTAGCTGGACGGCTGCAGAAGGCCCATCGGTCCTGCAGAAGAAAGTCGGGCAGTCTGCCCCAGTAAAGATGCACCCTCGAGAACCCCGTGCAGGATCGCTACCAGTCAGAACAGACTCGATGACTGGAACTTTTTGAGAAGGGGATACAATATACTTTCTGAAGTGTTGGGAGCCCAATCTCACCACAACTCCTTGGTGTCACAAGATGCAGCTGATTGAAGAAAAGGGGCAAATTAATGGTAAAGTCAAAGATGAACAGAACTAGAGGCAGGATTAACTTTTATGCTAAAGAGAAGGACCAAATGCTTGCCTGAAGAAAATGGACACAAGAGAAGCTCAAGTTACCAAAAGGGAATCTAACAGGTGTAGCAAGACATTAAGGAATCCAGAGCAGCCACTCAAAATCTTGGTCTCTACTCATCGTTGATGAGGACATTTCAATTTCCCTCAGCAACTTTCTCTGCCAGTGCACCATCGCCAGTGCGGTAACGAGGGAAACAGGAGTGTCCCGGGCCCAGGATGGTATGCGGCAGTGTCCGCCTTAGCCACTCCAGCCACACCTCAGACCTTCTCCCAACCGGAAGGTCTGTCAGCACAGCCCTGAAATTCAGGAAAGCCCAGAGGTAAAAAACCAACACACTTCCTCCACTCCCTGTGGAACTCACTGTCAAACTCACTGCCATCGAGTCAATTCTGACTCGCAGGGTTACTATCAGCGGGGACAGAAATGCCCTGGTGGGTTTCTGAGGCTGGAACTGTTCTATGAGAGTAGAAAGCCTGCTCTTTCTCCCTCACAGGGGCTGGCGGTTTGAAACTGCGAAGCTTGTGGCTAGAAGCCCAACTCGCAATCACTAGGTCAAAGGTGCCTCTGAATCTTCTGAGAGGCACCACATCTAAAAGCAAGTAATGCAAACAGAATCACCCTTTACAATGATTCTCTCCTTCTGTACCTTCCCTAGCCCAAAGCTCCATGTTGGGGCTGGGGGTGGAGGGTTAACTGAACAGCCTTTGCTCAGAACTATTTAATTCTTGTCTTATTTCTTTAGGGGGAGTGGGGGGGATAAGTACTGATCAGAGCTGCTAATTGGCCTGAGATTACCAATACTACATAATTCCTGCCAAAAGCAACAGCACTTAATTCTTTAATTAGCCTCTGTAACTTTATTGATGATAAAATGCAATTTCCTTTAAGGTCTTTACGGAAATATTGACTGCCAGACCCCATTTCTACATATGCCAAAATCCCTAAGGGCACAGAGAGCATCTTGGTGTGGAAAGCAGGACATTAAGGGCTTGTTTCCCCAAGCCACACCCTGGCACAGTGTGTCACTTCAAAGACTGGTTGGGCCACCCAGTCCCAGGTGCCCAGCAATTAGAGCCCAGCCTGCAAATGCCCTGGCGCTACACCACCCAACCGCAGGGCTGGCCCTTGGGGCCTTTGGAGAGAGGCTTCACCTACTGTGGGTGCAGTTTGCACCTGGCCCCCAAAATGCTCATCCTGTCTCCTACTGTAAATACCACACTGGTATTACCTTGGGCCAGGCCAGAATACAAATCAAGGGCTCCAAACCCAGAGGCCAGCCAGCCTATCTGAGGCTGGTGCTCTGTGTCCCCATGCTGACATCTGCAGCTGCCTCTCCTTCACTTAGAGGTGCTTTGAGTTGAGCCTGGAGTTGCTGCCAAAATTCTGTCAGGGCTGCAGGCTGGAGAGACTGAGGAGTGGCCACTGCACACATCCAATCCTTCTTGCAAGCAGAGCTTTCTGAGAGCCTAGAACGGCCAAGAGGAAAAGCAGGGTGTGTCTCATTTCTGTAGGAAACACGCCCCCACCTCACTCCTGACCGGCAAAAGGACAACTCAAATAAGGAGGTTGGCGGAAGAGGCCTTCACTGCAAACCAACTGCTCTGAGAGGCTGGAACGGGAGGCATTCCACGGCGTGGACCTGTGCCTATGCTTATATGACCTGGGGTTCCAGGGGCCTGTTTGTCTACTGTTTGCATCCCCCACCATAAGCATTCAATCATCAAGCCCAGGCCTACAGAGCACACCCACTAAGTAACAGCAGCATAAGCTTCACACTGAACCAGACGTAAGACCCAGGACAGCCTACCACCTATCAGCATCTACCACTCCTCTTCCCTACCACTGAAACTACAACTCCGTGTCTACGGTGGCCCATGAGGGTTAACTCTCCAGTATCCAGTGGAAACTGTAGCCCTCAGGGAGGTGGGCACAGACAGGACACATTGGGAGGAGGAAGAAAAGGGTCCATCAGACATAGAAGGTGGCTGACCAGGTGACTTTTGATGGGTACGTTTTAGGGTAGGGTCTTTGGACGCTCTCCTCTTCATTCCTCTATCCAGGATTTGGAGGAAGCACTGGGTCTTCTGGTACCCCTAGGACTACTCGGGGCCGGGGGCCTCTGAACAGCTAACAGAGGCTACACTGGCCAGAGCCCAGACCTGCGCGGTCCAGTACAGGAGCCACTCACCGAGCTAATTAATTAAGTGGAATGAAATTAAAAAGTCATCTCTTCAGTCACATTAGCAGATACAGAAGCATTTCTGCCTATTGCACAGTGCTGGTCTGGGCAGCTGGCTCTAAGTATGAGAGAGAAGACTCCAGTAGAACCTTTTAAACCCAGCTCTTCCCATGGGGAAATGCGGCCACGGTGAGAGCAGACAGAGGAAGCCAGTGACCCAAACGGAAAGTCAAAATGATAGGTCTCTTAGTCTCTTATTGGGCAGTATTAGTGTGTGGAGGTAATTCATCAAACAGGTTTCTGATTAATTCTGAACCTAAAAATGAAAAAAAAAATTTTTTTAACTGCTCAAGGACAAAGCTGTTCTCAAGCAAGCAGTAAACATTTATTGAGTACTTGCAACTCAACAGGGCAATTTGATCATCACCACAGGGGGCAGAGAAGAAACACCAAAGCACGTTTTACACTCAAAAATGGAATGTCTAAAACTGCAAGCATTAAGAGAAAGCAGCTAGTAAGGGCTGGGAAATAGCACATGCTACAGGAGTTCAGAAGGTGCTTCCTGAAGGGTCTGGAAGGTGGTGGTGCCTGGGCTGCATTCGGGCACTGACTTCAGTCACTGTCTCTCCTTGAACTAAAAGGAAGAGACACTAACTATCCCAGTGCCTCTTTTGCATTCAGTCTCTCATCTCCTGAATCCAGCTTCAGTAGCTTCCACTACCTGTCCCAGAAGGACCCCTGCCCCATTCCAAGTGTTCGTCGAAATCTAGCCACAACTTGCCTTCTCATGTGACCCCCTAACATCCAACTCTCCTTCCTTCCCTAAACATCTGCCCCACACCTCTATCTAAAGCACCAACCAAACCTCCACGTTTGAGTTCCTCAACTTTTCATGTTTCTGATCCTCTCCTAAGGAACTGATTACACGTCAAGCTGCTAACTGCAAGGATGACGGTTCAAAGCCACCAGTTGATCTGCAGGAGAACGATGAGGAAGTCGGCTCCCATAAAGATTTACATCTTGGGGAACCTTATGGAATCATTTTTCTCGGGCCCATAAGGTCACTATGAGTCAAATCAACACGATGACATAGGTTTAGCTATTTGTTTTTTAAAATCGATCCACAAGGAGCCCTGAGAGTCCTGTGGGCTAGACACTGGGCCACTAACCAGAAGGCCAGCCAGTCAAAGCCCTCAGCCACTCCGCAGAAGGAAGAAAGATAAGGCAGTCTTTTCACACAGAGACTTACAGTATTAAAAGACCTAAAGAGCAGTTTTACTCCATCATACCGGGCTGTTATGAGTCAGGATCAACTCGATCGCGGTGGGTTTGGTTCAATTTATGTACATTCCCATCGCACTTCAAAAAGAGAGCTCTGCTAGCACCCTGATGCCTCTCCGAGCCGAGTTCCTTGAAAGCAGACCCAGTTCCACTCCATCACGCAGCACGGTAAACACTCACTCAAGGCTTCCTGAGTTTGATTTGCAATATAAAACATAAGCTAAGGGGCTGCAGCTCAGAGACTGTGCTGGGTACAAAATTCTCTTCTGTTATTCAAGGGAAGTGTTTCTCTGAGGAGTCTGTGAGCTTCCCAGTACACAGACACCGTGACATTTATTTTGACTGCTCGGAAGCCAACTAACTTCTGGTTCTCAGCTGCACTGTGAAAAGATGAGGTTGCCAGCGAGCTGAGGTGCAGACAGTAGTAATATTAAATACAGCCATGTTTAAATCGAGCGGAGGGCACTGAATCATGACCTATTAAAAACCTGTATTTAATATTTTCACATCACACTAGGCAACCTTCCCCCCAACCCCCAACCGCTGTGTTTCGCATTGAACTAGTTAATAATTAACTGGCTTTGATTAAGTTCCCTTTTCATAAAGACCAACCAGGAAACACCTTAAATAATATTTAGGAAAAACAGGCACCCCTGACTCTCAGGACTGAGTTATTCTTCCCTGGAGAGCCAACAGGAACCCTCAGGAACGCTCGCCTGCAGTCAGCCTTCCCTGCACAGATCCGGTTACTGACCTGCAATCGCACACTCAAGATGTGTTTCTCCCTGCCGTGGTGTCTCTGACCTGCCTGATAGGCAAAGGGCTTTGGCTATTTACAGCATTACATTTTTAAAAATCATGTTTTTACACTGACCCAAACCCTGGTCGGCTCCAAGCACAACAAAGCAGGACTTACTGCCATTGTCGTCAGAATCCTCACTGCTGCTGGGAAGGCGACCTCGTTTCATGATCTCCCCGGGAAACAGCAGGCAGCCTGCAAAGCAATGAGACAGCACTTAACCCAAGATGATAATACACAATCATCAAGTTGTGCTTCAGATGGCAGCCCAGGATTTACAGCACACAAAAGCAAACAAACGGCTCTAAGTAGCATTTGAATTGTGCACAGCAAAGAGACCAAAGATACGTAATTAGGTGCAATCATTAACAGAGCGGGTTAAAAACGGGGGTTGGGGAGGGGGAGGCTATGTCACACATCAGTAGGTCTTCAAAGGTGCAGGGGGTTTCTCTCCCTGTTCCTGACATCATTACTACAACTACTTTAAGAAGGAGTCTCTTTAGCAGGCTGGCGGCAACCACTGCAGAAAAAAATCCACAGCAGTGAACGCTGTGCTTCCTCACTACAGACGGATTCATATTTTACATGGGGTGGGGGGAAGCTATGAATGTGTGAACAGTTACACTGCTCTGGGCATAATTCTGCCTCTCAGGCAAACTTTGCTAAAACACTCCTAAGAGTTAAATGATGTAGAATTTAAGAATAAGATAAAACGGGGTATGGGGTCTTACAAATATCTCCCCATCAATCCGCAGCTGTAACATGACTTCTTTTAGACTCTCAAATCCTAGAACAGGAAGGAACCATAGACCGAGTATAATGCACATGCAGGGGTCCCTCCCTTTTACTCATTAGGAAACTGAAGCCAAAGAAAGGTTAAGCAAGCACTTGCCCAGGGGCACACAGGTGGCAGAGAGCTTCTAATTCCACACCCTGTGCTGGTTCCACAATGCTTCACCCCTACTCCTTTCAGGACAGGTACAACTGAAGGCAGCCAAACTAAGAAGTCGGTTTGCTCAGATCCCAGCCCACCCTGCCAACTCCATTCAGGTAGTTGGTGGTAAAAGGTCTCCACACCACCACTGTGTAAGACAGCATGTAGGGAACAGGGAAGTGGGCAGAGATTTAATGATCAGTGCCGTCAACTGAAATGACTTGCTATGGTTCTTCTACCCATAGTCTTTGTAACTCCCACCCCATGACTGGATAAGGCCATAAAAATAAATGTAGAGAATTCTAACTCGGGAATTGGTTGGTTTTGCCATTCATCTGGGTATAAAAGTGAGCCATCTCAGAAGCAGGAACAGAGAATTCCAAGACTACTGAGAAAAACGGGGCACCAAGCAACTGAGCATGCAAAAGCCCTGCATGAAGTGGGGTGGGAGCAGAGGCACCAGAGGCCACAGCTTCAAGACCATGAGTCAGAGTAGGGCTTTCCATTCACAGGAGTGAGTAAAACTGAGTACCTTCAGGCAAAGGCTGACTACTTAAGAGTCAAATGCCCTATAGACATTTAGCAGAGATAAAGGAGCTTTGAAACTCTTGCTGGAGGAGGGCAGAGGACCAGGGAGATGTGCCTGCTACAGACAAAAGAACTGAGGCCTTAATATTCTTTTAACTCTGACTTGTAAATTCCTTAAATAAACCCCATAAGCATGAGTACTGTCTGTGGGTTCTCGCAGCCACTCCAGCAGATTAGTGAACTAGCCAAGAGGTAGAGTGTAGTGGGAGGGATGGTTGGTGTTACAATGGGGTGGCGAAGAACGGAAGGTGAAGAAGGCATGTCTGACTTCTGCCGCAGAGGCAACATCCCCAGTGAGACATGAAGTTGGGTTCTCCTTCCCTCTTTTGCCACCAGAGGTTGTCAAGACTTAGCTTCCAGGCCACTCCCCCAGTCAGTTACGAAATTTGAAATAATCTCTGAGTTATAGACACATGGGGCAATTCTCTCAACAAATCCAAAAAGCCGTGTCAAATGAAAAGTACTGGTGACCTTGACATCTTTGAGAACCCAGATCTTAGTGCTAGATCAATGATTCTCAGAGGTGGAAGAAAGCTTTTCCAAATCAGAATAAGTATGGTAACCTGTCGTCATTCTCCCTCCCTTGGAAAAAGCACTCACTCTTCCTTCATTAAGAATCACAGCACGGATGAGGTGGCAAGTGTCCAATGAGAGTGTGGCACACGGGAGCAGAGGGGAGGAAAAGGCCGAGAACCACTATGCTGGAACAAAACTATATATATCAATGTTCCACTCTAAATGGGCCTGTTAAAGAGCCATCAAAAGTAACAGAAAAATGCGCTGCACAGTGCAGTCTGTTCCCACTTCCGAAATGGACCCAGATGACTCATTCAAATATTTGAGTCCCTAGTCTCTAAGTGCAACCACGGATTGTCCTGTGGGTGGAGGCTTGAGTGTTACTATGCGGCCGAAGTTCCCACAGATCTTTCGGATTACGGGCACATCTAAAAAATAAGGGCTGTGATCTACTCCCCAAAATCAGTTAATGCAAACAATAATGATCTGCTACCATTGTGCATGGGGTTGCCCTGCGTCTGGGCTGGCTCGAGGGCAGCCAGCAACAACAAAGTCAATATTTCTGTCATTTCAAATATTTTATATTTGAAAAACTCCCTCGATGGGGTGGGGGATGATTTCCCAACACATTGTTCAAAAACCATTGGTAAAATTCACCAAAAAGCAAACGGGACATGGGTCCTGATCTATGAGTTCTCTCTCTTAAGGCCACACCTGGTGTGCCAGGGTTCTGCTCTGTGGGCATGGTCCCAGTCCCACTGCCCACCCCACCCAGTTTCAGAGAGCACTCAGCAATGCACGACTCGGCCTCAGCAAGACCTCTCCAGCCAAAAGCCTCCACAGCCGGCTGACAAGCACCTGCGGCCACTCCCCACCTGAAATGATTGCCTTCCCTGTCCTGTCACCCTGTGGCAAAAATACCAACAGCCGACAGCTAAACACGCTTCAGCATCCTAGGGAAAGCGGCACTGGGAGGTACGAGGCGAAGAGGAGAAAGACCTCATTCCTCATGTCAGCTTCCGCATCCCAAGTGGTAAGTTCCAAAAGCAAAACCAACCCCACTGCCATGGAGTCCATTCCAACCCAGAGTGGGATGCTGAGGTTTCCCATAGAGCGTCTCCAAGAAGCAGACAGCCCTGGTCCCTTTGAACCACTGAGTTGCAGTTAGCAGCCCAACGTTGATCCAACAGTGGCACCAGGGCTCCCTAGTTAAAAGAGAACTTTAAAACAACAACAACAACAACAACAACAAACTAAAGAGGAATTCCCTAAAAGTAACAGTGTGATGCAACACAGCAAGAAGAAGGTTGCCTGCCACCTCGAGGGAGGGGGTGAGAACCACAGACTCAGAGGCTGAGGAAGCCCACAAAACACTTCCCAGCTAGAAACAAGGAGACAAATGCTCATTACATCTCCATTGATTCAGACAACTTAAATTTACCTAAATAGAAGCTTGGAAAACTTAAGAATCTTTTAAAATCAAAATGCCTTCCTCCCAGATCGCAAACACAAGTCCCAGAGAAAACACTTCAAGAGTTACTAGAGGAAAACTGCAAGCGTTGGCCAAACAGAAAGATGCTTCTAAACACACATAAATTCTCTCTTCAAGCGAAACTATACAGGGAACAGAAAAGTAAAAATAGTATTTTCCTCCTAATGAATTCCATTTTCATTCACCCTTGAAAGATCTTGAGTAATGAAGGTTGGAAATACTGTACTTCACTTCTCCAGGGAACCTGGCCCAGTAATGGGGGTTAGTGCGGGGCAGAACTTCCTCCTTTGTGGCTCTAATGTACTTAAACCTTGACATCAGGCTGATTTATCTCACCCTGGGTTACTTACTGTCTCAGGAAATCAAAACGCATGTTACTGCTATCTTTAAGATATACAACAACCCTCCCCCTAAAAAAAAAAGATATAAAACACCAGTAGTGTGTGCTGCAAACATCTGTCCACTAAAAGCCAGCGAGAGTGCAGCAGTCCTTCTGCATCATTACCTGCCCTGACTTTTAGAGCAATGGCTGGTTTTCAGCTAGACGGTGGCAGGATAAATAATAATCAATTAGAAGGGCTCCTCACAGCACTCCAGAGAAAGCAGCAAGAGAATACAGTCCCAGTCCCACAAATGCTGATATATTTAAAGGTGCTAGAAAAAAACTACTATCTCTGACATCAAGGAATTTCTGGTTTAGTTGGGGAGACAGGCAAGTTCAGGGACAGAATTCTTACCTTCCATGTGGAAGACCTGGCTCCATTTCCCACTGGATGCTTTTTATGTACAGCCACCACCTATCTGTCAGTGGGGCACAACACGTTGCTAGGATGCTGAAATGAACAGGTTTCAGCAGAGCTTCCAAGCTGAGACGGACTAGGAACAAAGACCTGACAATCTACCTCAGAAAAATCAGTGGACTCAATGATCTGATCTGCAACCAATCAAGGTACACACCTGGGCCGCATTTTGCAACGTTGCCCATGAGATCACCCATGTGTTGGGGGAATATTGACCACAGCTAACAAAAGCAGTGAGGCACAAGGCTGTATGAGAGGTGGATGGAGTGAGGGAACACATTATGGGCTAAATCCTGAAGAACAAAGAGAAGGCAGGCAGCCAGAAGAGGGAACACATGATTTCTGGGAAAGCACTATAATACACAACAGCATACACAGAAGCTAGGGTATCACTCTAAGCATCATCTCCATACTCAGAATCTTTCTATTGCATATTTCTTTACTACTATGCAGCCTCATCTTACCCTACACCCCCGGCAAGGCCCAACAAGGCCTAAAGTTTGGCTCTTTCAAGTCCTGTTATCGCAGTTTGGTCCCCAACCACGTATACCTAAATTGCTTTAAGCAGTTTTCTGTTCTCCAAGGCCGAAATTCTTTGGCTTTTCCAATTATTCTAGTGACTACATCATCTTCATGGGATTGTCATGAGTCAGAGCCTACTCCATGGCCACATATGACATAAATAACAGAGAGGTGAACCACTCCCTATGCAGAGTAAGTCCCAACTGTCCAGCCAGAAACTTAAGGGTTTCTGCCATCAGGTCTCGAAAACATCCCCTTCCCTTTCAGCTCTCAACCTATGCCAATGCTGTGTTTATTCTCTGCCCCCAGCCCAGCCCTTCTCCAAGGCTTAGCTCAAAGTCCA